CGCCTTCAGCAACTTAAACTCCGGAAAGATCAGCTTCGTGGTGATCAAATACACGCCGAGAGTTCTGCGCACCGTTCTCAGAGAGAGCTGTTTGCAACTCTTCTCGAAGCTCCAAAATTGCGATTTCCAATGCCATATTCTGGTCGTCCATTTGTCGGACGAACACAGCTTGCTCTACCGCCAAGATGTCAAGCTCAGCATTTACTTCTTCAGTATGGCGCCGGCCATCTGACAGTAGCTCTTCCAGAGTTGCTTTGACCTCATCTTCAACCAATTCCAAGCTATCTGCAAGCTCATCTCTCTCTTCTTCCAGCGCGTCCATCTGTTCCCTCAACGCATGCACTGTGTCTGTCTCAGCAGCGTGAGATCTAGTTAATCGCGCGAACGCTTCATCGCGATTAGCTTCTTCTTGCTCTAGACATTCTCCGCAGTCTTCGTCCCTGTCGTTCTCGAGCTTTCTCCAAACAGATTGGTGATTGGCAGTTTCTGCGGTTTTGGCAGTGGCACAGGACCATGTCGTTAGATCTTGATGCCCGCAAGCGAATGTTGTCTCGAGATCGACGTGAACACAGATGTCTGCTGTTGCTACCTTTAAGTCCTGTTCACGCTCGGCTTTCCGTTGCTGGAGCATCCTAGCTGATACATTCCCAGCATCTCGAGCCTTCTGTTTCTCTTCGTTACGTTCGCGACGGAGGCGATTTATGAGTTCCGTTACACAGGGTCTGCATTCGTACTGCCTTGTCCTACTATGTTCTGCAGTCTTCTTGCAACTCCTCTCCCCACAGGGGAGGTTGATCTTGCTCTCGTGGCCACAGTCGTACGTAATTACGAGATTGGTACACATGACGGAAAATATGATTTTTGGGTAGCGGTATCCGGCGATCTCAGTCTGCGATTAAGATATGGGTGATAGACACGACTCTCGTAAAGATTCCGAGCATCTACGCTACAACCTTGGAATGATCAACGACGTATCACTCAGAGAGTCTTCAACAGCTTCAACCTTGCCATGTGAACCAAATCGTCACATTGGGCAAAACGTGTCACATTGGTACATGCTTCACAAAGGCAACTAATTACAAAACCATTACATTCGGCACACGGTTTCTGTTTTCCACAGAAAACGCCGTCCACTATCTGCATCCTGTCATCGCCAAACACACAATCTACTTGTCTGCTTCCCTTTATCACACGAGCCCAGGATGTGCACAACATATCGCGTTTACTTCTACTGCGGACACCTAAAGTCTACGACCACTCACGAGCACTCTGGCATCGAGTGCACAATCAACAAGGCGAAGAGTATCACAATCGACGAAAAGTGCAAGCGCTGCGTCCAACGAACATCTCGAAAGAACGTCCGACTCGACGATACCATGAACAGTGCGGAAGTACCGTCGATAGTAAAAGGCGAGGAGAGTGGCGCCCATAGTGGCGACAGCGAGCGATGATGGGAGGTGAAGAAGACTGGGTGTTTTCAATAGTTAACTTCACTATCATCGAACCGTCATGAACAACCCAGAGAGCAAGAAAACACATATGTCGGGTTCTGGATTGGAATCAGACTAGATACGCATACGATGAGGTAGCCCTCTATGCGGTGGTCTACGCTCACAGGTTCATTATGGAAGTCGTAGCATCGATAAAATACGACGTACTCAAATCTCGCGTTGCGTCCGATGCATGCAAACGTAATGACCTGGTGAAGCGCTTTTACGTTCATGGGAGTAGCCTATTGTCCAAATTATAGTCATATAAGCCCAGCGTGCAGTTCTCCATGGTCTCTTCAGCTCATTCCAAGCATCACAGCACCCTATATGGCAGACATCACTGTACCTGCCAGTCAAATTTACGCCACCTACCGCTCCCTTGGAAGATATCTGGAGAATCCCACTACCAGGCTGTGAGAAGAATGTCTAGACCCATCGCCTTATAGATTGCACGCGGCATTACTCGTGCCCGGCGAAGGCTCCATAGACAGCACCCCTCTTCTGGTGCTAGCCTTGTCGACGATGGACATAGAGCTCCCGCAATAACGCTCCTTATCATCATAAGTGCTGCGACCGATATTTCGACTTGTGACTATCCGTTGTTCGAGGGCTCGACGAGATCGCGGCCACTAACTGGCGATGGGTTGTCGGCACCCGAGGCGTGGACTTGAGATCGGCCTCTGCGCGAGGTGCTGGAGCGATTCCTGTATGCGAGATATGTGCGACGGGGGCGCTATGCGTGACATAGTCTTCGGCGAAGTCTGATGAGTGGTGTCGATGCGAAGAGAACGGGGCGGAGAGGAAGCTGTTGGACGCGTTCAGAACAGCTGACCCGAAGACGCGGTTGAATGAATATGGTCGGGGGAGCATGTGAACATATGGCATGTCTGCTCCATGTCTTGAGACGTGTCGTGAGCTACATCAGTGTAGACGACCTGCGGGTTGTGTAGGAAGCGTCGCAACCTTGGAAGCTTCCAAGGTTGGTTTCCCAGCCGCGTTCCGATGCGCGGGTGTTGCCGGCTATAATCGATAAGTTCCGACGGAGATTCCGATCAACTCACCACGCCACCTCCACAAACCCTTGACTTCGAGACTTCACACCCCAGATCACATTCCACTCAAATCACGACGCGTCTTACTTGATAACCAACATGGCCAAAGTCGAAGGTGCCCCTGCTCATGGCGCTGTAGCCCACCTCCTACCACAAACATACAAGCGATTAGTCTCGGAATGGCTGGAAGAGGACACACCAAGTTTCGATTATGGTGGTTTCGTAGTGGGCGAGGAGCTTTCGGAAGCGAAGCTGCTCGGAAAGAGTGAAGTGAGTGTTTTCGACTACTGTAAGTGCCGACTAACATTGACAGGGCATAGTAGCAGGCGTCCCGTTCTTCGATGAAGTGTTCCGACAACTAGGTTGCACGTGCGTTCATCTCACCAGATTACATGATCAAGCTCAATATTGACAACTACTAGCGTGGAGTGGCACGTCAAAGAAGGTGCTTCATTCCAACCCATCACCCACTGCGCTACTGTGCGCGGCCCAGTCCGTCACCTCCTTCTCGGCGAGCGCGTGGCTCTCAACACCCTCGCCCGCTGCTCCGGCATCGCGACCAAGTCAAATCGCCTACTTACTCTTTTACGAGGAGCTGGTTACCCAAACATTCTTGCTGGTACCAGGAAGACCACACCAGGTTTTCGACTTGTAGAGAAGTACGGCATGCTGGTTGGGGGCGTGGACGCGCATCGAGTTGATCTTAGTGCAATGACGATGCTGAAGGACAATCATATCGTTGCCGCAGGAAGCATCACCAATGCAGTGAGAGCCGCCAAAGCAGCTGGCGGCTTTGCAATCAAAGTCGAAGTGGAATGCCAATCGTTTGATGAAGCAGACGAGGCGATTGCCGCTGGTGCTGACATCGTCATGTTAGACAACTTCACCCCAGAAGGTGTCCAAGTTGCTGCTAAGGATCTGAAGGATAAGTGGGGACGGGGTACTGGAGACAGGAAGCAATTCCTCGTTGAAGTGAGCGGTGGGCTTACAGAGTACAACGTGGAGAAGTACGTCTGCGGCGATATTGATATCGTGAGCACGAGTAGCATACACCAAGGAGTACCACACGTGGACTTCAGTCTGAAAATCGTACCGAAGAGTAAAAAGGATGGAGGGGAGAGTTTAGCGGTATAACCTGACGGTGGGCGAAGGGGACTTGTGGGTATCCCTCATGTATCGACAGACATAGCTAACTAATTCAGTATAGTTATTTACGATATTTGTCACCTTTCGGTGGCATGACTTTCACTATGATACCGATTCCCAAAACTGTCAAGCGTCCATTTCATGACCTCAGACACCTCAGACTCTTACTCTTCTAGCAAGCATGGCAAGGGGCTCGAGCAACCGCTATCCGCGCTGATCTACGACACGGCAACATCACTAATCAAAGCGCTTTTGTAGTCACTGTCTTCTGAAAATCGTCCCACAATGCCAATATCGACTGCAATACGTGGCCCTCTATTCCTTCGGCTCTGGCGTCATCTAGCCGCTTTGCATCGCCTCCGCGGTCTGCGTCAAGCCTTTCCGACCAATCTTTCTCGTGGCTCTCGCACACAAGTCCTTTGATCTTCGGCAGCCGGCTGGCCTGATCACCGGTAAGAGGGTCTAGGTCCGCTTCCCTGCATTCCAAGGTTATATGGCCGTCGTCCCGGTCATGTCTGCTAGAACAACTCGCGCGTCCGCCGAACCTAAGCGATGGTCTCCACATACGCCTTGCTGCACCTTCAAACGCTTTCACTGTCTGTTGCGCGTTCGAAAGCTTCTCCTCGATCGTGCCGGGCTGGTGTACACCATGGAAAGGCCGACCACGCTGGCTGGCAATGCCCTTTGCGCCCGGATATTCAACAAGCCAAGGTCATACGTTAGGATCACTCAAGTCCCTAATTTTATCCAGCAGTGGGTATGCAAAGCCGAGTAAAACATCGTTACTCTCTTGGGTTGCGTTGGCAAGCGCTGGCGACAAGTATAAAGTTACGCCCGACGCTGTCTTCAACTAGACCCCATAACGGTGGGTCTGGTTGTGGACCTGACAAGGCCGTGCCCAATGAGCGCCTTCCGCTTTCGCAGAAGGCTTCCGCGAGAGTTCAAGCATCAAAGCTCCCGGCCCTAAGCGAACTACGTTTGCTTCGCTCACCTTCCGTGTGCGCCGTAGCCTAGGCACGAAGGAACGACGTCCTATCGCCTCAAGCTCGTGTTGTGAATTGTTTTGCTTGTATCGCATGGAGCCAAACCGCTTTCTTTTTACCGCCAGGTAGAGCTTCGCATCCTACATCGGGTACACCGAGTGACAGAGCACGCATGTGCCCCCTCTCGCACACCCATGGATGTCGAGGCGTAGAAAAGACAGGTATAAAAGGGTGAGCTGTAGGTATGCTCTTCGCATCACCATTCTCTCGTCCACAAACTTCAGGTTCATCAAGCCCTACAACATCATTGCTCTCCTCGCTTTTTCAATATGCAATACCTCAACACCATCCTCGCTTTCGCTGCTGCAGTGGCAGCTGTCGACATCAAGTCGCACGGCGAGTCACACTGCAAAGGTACCGAGAGGGTATATGTGAACGCCAAAACCAACCAATGCTATGCCGGTGGCGGTATATCCTACGCTTGGTCGTTCAATGCCATTCCCACAAACTGGAACCTGCAGACTCGATCTCACAAAGATGGAAACTGCAAAACGCTAGTTCACGCCTGGAACTCGAATGGTGCACGCACGGTCTGCCATGGCGCAGCCGTCAACAACTTGTTGTACACAGGTGCTGGATACAGCTTCGCCAGCAAGAAGAGGTCGGAAGACACAGTTTTCAACAGCGAAGACTGCATCTGGAAGCCAGACCTTATGACTCTGGGAGACGGCACAACATACAAGCTTACAGATGTTGAGGACGAAACCGCGAAGATCATGTAAGAGCAACCCTAAGCACCAGACAAGGCCCTGGATATGATGTACTAATTCACCTTCTCATAGACTCGCATATGGTGATAACACCACGATTGCCGAGAACATGCCAAGCCTATTCGACGAGTACATTACACAAGAGCGTCGCTGAGTGTGCCATCAAGATTGGTTATTGGTGATCTTTACTGCGATGCCGTGGCTCAATACATTCCATCCACTTCCTCCATTGCTACTGCGACAGCGCAGAGCAGACGCATTCACGACTTCTAAAGCTCACATCACACCCACTCAAGCAGGACTCCCGAAACGAGAAAGCGAGCAAATGATGTACTCCGGGAGAGACTAGTCTCGCTATATATTGTTGGAATATCACACACAAAATGAACTAAATCGATGGCCGGCCTACTCCGTTTCCACTACTTCTATGACCTCCACCTCTTATCTTTTGTGACACTTTGAGGATGACGATGGTATTGCTGATGATTCTCCCTGTATTTGAGTCGTATCAGAGTGAAGATGGCAAACCCATCGAAATGCAATTCTCTTACCTTATACTATGGAATGCTCTCCCAACACCACGCCAACCGTCATTCTCGTGGCACATTCACTTTCGCAACACCGTGCTATTGTTGGCTTACAGCGCAATAAAGAAGCATCAATAGTTTGGATAAGCGCTAGGTTATAGTGCAGCCGTGAACTCAATAGCAACAGCGTGGCATTGTGCTGGCGCACCTTCCGCCTTCCGACTTGGTATAACCATTCCTTTCCGGATTACGCCAACCTTCCTACAATGTCGCATCACTGTGTTATGGTCAATAGAATTAACCTATAGAACAAAGTCATTTTTTCTCTCTCTCACTTTTCATCGTTACCACAAACCTTTGCCGAACAAACACAGGTACAAATATGCGCACGAAATTATCGTTTGCTACGGCCCTGGCGGCTCTCGCCATCCTAGGAGACGCGCACGGAGACCATGCTAATGACAGCAGGCAGTACACTCTAACAGACGATCTTAGTTACAAGAACTTCTTCACTGCCTTTGACTTCTTCAACGAAACCGATCCGACCAAAGGCTTTGTCAATTATCAGAATCAGGAAGATGCGACCAAGCAGGGCCTAATAGGCTACCTTGAGGACACAAAGTCCGTGTTCATGGGTGTAGACTATACCAGTAAAGACCCTACTGGCCGCGCTTCTGTTCGCCTTGAAAGCAAAAAGAACTGGAATCATGGACTACTCATCGCAGACATCCGCCATATGCCTTCGTCGGAATGTGGCACTTGGCCAGCATTTTGGCTTTTATCGTCTTCAGTGCAATGGCCGAATGGCGGGGAGGTCGATATCCTCGAGGGTGTTAACGACTACGAAAGCAACTCTGTTACTTTACACACAACCAAGGGCTGTGTTGTTGATAACTCGACTGCGGCTGGAGGAGGATTGGGTGCTGTGGGTGGTGATAACAATGCGCCATTTACTGGTCTTATGAGTACCGACGACTGCGACGTCGCCGCACCTGGCCAAGAGAAGAACGTCGGATGCTCTATCCACGCTCCTGACACCATGCCTGGTATCCAAAGTAGCGGCGGTAGCGGTAGTTCCGACAATACTGGCGCCGCGCCTCTCCCATCTTATGGTACCGAATTCAACAAAGCGCAGGGTGGTGTCTATGCCATTGAATGGGCCGCCACCAGCATCTCAGTTTGGTTCTTCCCCCGCGACTCCCCGGGCTTCACGGATAACTTCTCTTCGAATATCACAGCTCCCGATCCATCAAACTGGGGCACTCCTATAGCGCACTTCGGCGGTGCTGGCTGCGACTTCTCTGAGCGCTTCAAAGATCTTCAGATAATCTTTAACACCGCCTTTTGCGGCGAATGGGCTGGCGCCGAGTGGGATAAGTCTTGTGCCAAAAAGACCGGTGTTGCTACGTGCAATGAGTATGTGCGCGATAATCCCCAGGCCTTCGTGGAGGCGTATTGGGAAGTGGCGGGATTGAAGTGGTTTCAGAAGGGCGCTGCGTAGAGGTGGAATACCGTTGCAGTTTTGCCGAAACGCGAGGAAGTTGCCCATTTCCCCGTGAAAGGTGCCAAGAAAAAGGGTATGCTTGGTAGCTATCACATCGGTATTTGTCGCGTAAGCTACTTCTGGGCTACGAAATTGTTTCGCTTTCCAATGTCTTTAAGCTTAGCTTCGCGGATGTCAAATTCGATGCTTCCTGGTTCAATCGTGTCTATTCAAGCCAAAGCTGACCTCGATATGGGAATATGCAAACTATCTCTTGTTCGATGTGGAACTGTGGAATCGTTCACTTTGAAGTGATACTCTGGTTATGATTGTGGCTACTTCGATGTTCGAAGGTATGTCATTTGGTCAGTTGCCCAATTCGAGGCCGAAGATGTCTGGGGCCGACTTCCTCAGTATATATGTGCGCATAATAATCAAAGCCTCGTAGAGCAGCAAAAGGAAGGAAAAGGAAGGAAAAGGGGTTTAGTGGCAGGGGTTCGAAGTTCAGTATCAGTATATGCACAAGCGCGTCGCAAACGCGTCAGATGTCTAGCCAGGTCGGGTTAGCGCAAAAACGCGTCCAGCCATTTCCAGGGCTTCCGCGCTTTCTGACCTCCGGACATCGTTTCGAGCCTCACACCCACCGACATCTGTACTGCCCTCGGCTTCCAAGAGTAGTGTACCACTGCCGCCAAGACAGGGTTCTCGACAAGTCTGATCTTTACCTATCCAGTGAGATGGCTCCCCAAGAAAAGCGCCCTAGGCTCCCGAAGAGCGCGTTTACTATAAGCAAATTACCAGAGTACGAGTCTACAGATCTTGTATTTACATGTTGCTAACGAATGAACGTAGTTTAAGCAGCGAGCTTATCGCAGTCAGACTCGGTAGAGACAACTTCAATTACGACGAGCCAGGCGAGCAGGGGCCAACCCAGGCAAAGATCGATCCACGACAAAGAAGAATCGAAGATTTCTTCAATATCACAGTAAAGAGGGGGGACGAACATGTGTTTCATGTGCATAGAGATGTTTTGTGCCAAACTTCCGCTTTCTTCCAGGCTGCTACAAAGCAGGTTTGGCGGGGCTATCCTCACAAGCCTGTTGATCTTACCACAGAACACAATGGTATCTTCAAACAATACATGCAGTGGCTATACAGTGGCAGGATCACGGTGCTTTGGAGCTCAGAACCGACCAACGAGGTCGACTCTTCGTACAATCCGACCGACGATTTGATAGAACAGTATCTCTTTGGCGGGAGGATGATGGATCCAACTTTCCAGAATGCTGCTATCAAAGCCCTCATGGATTGCTTGAGTAACGGGTATAGTTTTCCGAGGGCTGGACTAGTCCGTGATGTGTACAAAGGCACTATGGCCGACTCTCCAATACGAAAGCTGCTTCTGGATATCGTGGTCAACGGTGCAGATCAGAGCTGGGACTTTTCTGCCCTTTTGGAGAGGGCCGGAGAGGAGTTCACCAAGGACCTTATAGTTGCATTCGCGGCGAAACGGCCAAAGCCAGACTGTAGGTGCAAATGCAATCACACGAGTGTATGGGCTTGCCCTCAAAACCAGGCGAAATATTACGCTGCGGTTGCGAATAACAAGAAAAGGAAAGGTGCTCCTGCATGAAGCATTCATATAGTATAGAGCTCAACAAGGGAACCATCATACAGCAGCCTCTAGGCCTTTGTTGTCTTAAGACACCGTTTTTGCCTCGAATCTTGCCTCATACCATCAGGGTTGTCTAATGTTATAACGAAACCCCCGGATCGAAAGCGGTCGAAAGCGCACGCTCTGTGAGCAGCCAAAGCACGGTCGTTCACTGCGTGTAACCGTGTAGCGCTACCCCTGGAACCAGGTTAGTAAAGGTACGCTAGACTGTCGCTCGCTGCAAGGGCAGATACCCAGGAACACACACGCACTCTAAGTGACCTCAACCGACTGTCAACATACCAATTCCTCGGTCATGGCGCCCATAAACGATCAACCAGCGAAGCGCCGAAAGCCTCTGCCTCAGGGCAGTGCTGATTCTCGTGATCTCCTTGAGTAGGTTCAACATACAAATGATTTTTGGAGCAATTCTAATGCGGTATAGTGTAGGTAGCGAGATACTCATGGTCAAGGTTGGGGGTGGCGACGACCCTGTCGAACCGAACGTAGCAGGCGAAAATTGCGACAAGCCCGAGCACAACAACGAAAGTAACGACAGCGATACCGACACGGACAGCGATACCGACTCAGACGTTTCCGAGGAGCGCATCTTTCACATCCACAAAAGCGTTCTCTGCAAGACATCCGCCTTCTTCCAAAATGCAACGAAGCCAGAATGGACTGCTCCAACACCGCGCCCTATAGATCTTTCTGACGAGCTTCCAGAAATCTTCCATTTGTATGTGCAATGGTTGTACAGTGGAAAGATCGCCGTCGAGATCATGTCCTCCAGTGACTCGGATACGGAAGTTCGCAAACACGAGAACGTGGATTATCATTCACTAATTCAGTCGTACATACTTGGAGAGAAGCTCATGGATACCACATTTCAGAACGCAGTACTGCAATGTTTGATTGAGTGCGTAGAGCAAGCAGACTGTTTTCCCGGTGACCGGACCATCAAGACGGCCTATAAGCGCACGATAAAGCACTCGCCTCTTCGTAAATTGCTGGTCGACTTCTGGGTGTGGCACGGCGACTCTGAGGGGGCGGCTGATGACATGAATTTGAGCCTGGGGACCGACTTCACGAACGACTTACTTAAGGCCATGCTTGAAGCGCGTCCTAGTCCGGACACGAGTGCAGAGAAGGTCCAGCCTCCTTGGCTGACACATCCGGAGATCTACAGCATAAAGGGTAACAAGAAGACCGCCAAAGACACCAGCAACAGCGGAGATGTCGCCAAGGAGTAGCGTGGAGTGTGTCTGCAAATGTTGCTGAGATTTGTGAGAGGAAGTGTTGTACGAGGCCCTTCACGATACACTGAGATGGTAGATTACTACACAGGAAAGGAGGAATCTTGTAGAGTCCTGCAACTCGAAGCTTTTACTGGATACCTGCATGCAAGTCGCAGCTAGGCCAAGAGCTTGGTAATGACAACCAAAGACGAGTATTAACGATGAAGGCTAGCATGTGTCCGTAAACTCAGTACTATATTTCCCTAAATCGTGTATCTGAATCGTGGGCTGTCATCGCCCATCTCTGCAATATCCTCATCGCTCATCCCTTCAACCAGATGCTCTTCCTCACCCTTCTCACGTCTCGAGTTGATGCGCCCAAGATGGAACCACATGACAGCGTAGCATATACAAGCAAAAGCCACCATAGCCATAGTGATACCGTGGCCCTTGACGAAGCGGGGGCGATCAGCCGTGGGATAGATCTAGCGATCCGTTAGCAGTGTTTCCACGTGGAGCCTAGTGATTACGAATAAACTTACAAAAGCACTCATGATACCCGCACAATTACCGATGCTCAACTGCAACCCTGTCGCAGTGGTCCTCTTTCCATATCGCGGCAAGTTTGTAGGCAGCCAAGCTAATGGCAGACCAACACATACATACAAGCCCATTGCAACAAGGAAGCAGCCAGCGTAATGCACGCCAGAGCTGGCGTCGCTGATCAGCATGGCGTATCCGACGATACTCACCACACCGAGCAAGATGCTGTAAAACCCACGCTTTTGCTGTTTATCGGAGAAACGCGCAACAACCAAGTAGGTAATTGCACCTAGTGCATAACACGGGATCGTAAGGACCTGCACCATCGCGCTGCTGGCGGTAGTGTTGATCGACCTGATAATCGTCGGCAGGAAGGTAGAGTAGCCGTAAAGCATGGTATCGCTTCCGAATTGCGCAAAGCAGAATACCCAAACTTTCCAGTCCTTGACGCACTTCCTTACATCCTCCCAGTGGAATTCTGCTGCTTTCTTGGTGTACCCTGTCTGGCGCTTGAGGCGAGCGGCGGCGAAAGCCTTCTCTTCGGCCGTGAAGAAGTAGGCAGTTTCCGGGGTGTCCGGCAGGATGAACCAGGTCGCGATACCCAGGACGAAGGTAGGAATACCTTCGATGATCATGATCCAGCGCCATCCGCGCAGGCCAGCCGTACCATCCATATGTCCAATAGCGTACGCAAGTAGTCCGCCGCAGGCTCCAGCCAGGGCAGCAGAGACGAAGAGGTATCCGATGCGTAGAGCAAGTTCGCGCTTGGTGTAGAAGAATGTCAAGTAAATGGCCATTCCGGGGAACAGCCCTCCTTCCACGGCGCCAAGAAGAAGACGGCATGCAATTAGACCGCCGTAGCTCTGCACGATACCGGTCAAGGTCGCGATGATACCCCATGCGACAGTGATAAAGGCTATCCATCGCGAGGGCGTAAGTTTCTTCAGCACCAGATTTGATGGTACTTCAGACAGGATGTACGTGACGAACAGTATAGAGACGGCTGTCTGAAATTGAGAATCTCCCATATTCAGATCTTCCTGTAGACCATATAGACGGGCATTACCGATGTTGACTCTGCAATCGCGTAAGCAAATTTCTCGTACAAGCTGCTGCAGACTCCCAGTTGCATCCAGCCCGGATAGACGGCGCATTAATTAGAAAGCTCCAAACTCACCTGTCCAGAAAACTGAGCAAGTACAACAGCATTACCACCGGAATGACGAAAAGATCAAGCTTGCGCACAATCTTCGCTTCCAGAACGGGGTCGATGCCTTCTAGCTGCCTGCCAATCTCATCGCTCTCCTTCGCGGCATCAGGCACAGCCGGATCGTACTGTTTCTCGATGTCGCTCATGGTGTCGTCAGGCGTCCTCGCCTAATAGTGGCTCGGAGAATTAAGCAACAATGATGATCGATGACTCCACGTGAGGAAAAACGGTTGTCGCGTTAAAAACGCAAGATTGCGGCAAATGCGTCAGGAAGGGATGGTGAAGAAAAGAGCAGCGAGCGTCGCGTTATCAATGCATCCGGCCGAAATTCTGATCCGTCATCACGTAGCAACTCCACGACTTTGCCACGGAAGGGAAATGCTCATGCTTTAAATTCGTCGACGGCCTACGGCTTCGACATCGGACGAGTCTGCAAGGGGCCCACTCTGAACATGTCGCCCGCGGGCAGATCCATGGCGGGGGGCTGGAGCCAATGGAGCACCGAGCTAACGGTTTGTGGTATGACGTTGACGGCTACCCTGCCGGTAACACAGATACGACTGCTGGGCAACTGATAACGAACCACACGCGTCGCTGTGGCCTATTGTCCGCCAATGTTCCAAGGTTGGGGGAGATATCAGACAAAGGATGGGGGTGCTCGCGTGCCCTTTTGAGAGAAGTGGTGGGGACAGGCATCCGGTGTGGTTTGACATGTTCGTCGCGTTAGTCCGCTGTCATGCATCGCTTAGGCAATGCGATTAGTCCTGTCTGACCAAACAATTGCTCCAACAGGACTTGGAGACGCGATTGCATCACATCACACTTTGTTGTGCAGATCAGCGCTGATCCTGAACGCGTTCCACAACACGAGCTAATCACTAATTGATACCATTTGAGTGGGGATTGCCATTCTCAAGCAGACAGACGCCCTCATACCAACTCAGACGATGTCAGCGACGGATAACTAAAGGGCGTCGTATCCCAATCGATAGGCAGTACGATGCCAGAGTATATGTCGATCTGCGCTGAGGGATCAACAGGCCACCCCAAGTCGTCGCGCGGAAAGTCGATCTCAGCCACTGCAGGTTCCATATCCACGCTCACGGTATGCTGGACGCAGGTACCGGCAAGATTTGACCGTGCGATCGCACGAACCTCCTTCGCCATTTTCATTCCAAGTGGCCATATAGTTCCCATTGTGTTCAGAAAGCCGATGCTGAGACGCACACGATCCCGCGCTATCGACAGCGCGTGCCCATCCAATAGATAGGTACATACAGACACTTGTGCTGCCGCGAGTTGCGCGGTTAGGCACATAATAAAAACATTGTGCTTTTCGAGAGCGCATGGCATTGCGAGGAGTTTGGTATGCATTTCGGTCGCCTTGAGCACACGTGCGGTATGTGTGTTTCGCCCAGTTTTTGGTGTCAGCGTAAAGGGAGAAGGAGGCAGAAAAGACTGCGTGGTCATCTCTTCAGGAAGGTGAGGTAGTGACGAGAAGGGCCTATGCAGTGTTGAGATGACTCTGTCTTTGTTAGCGTAACAGTAGCAGTGCATGAAGGAACGAATTACATTGCAGCACACATATGTGCCATGTACCTGTTGTACGTATCGTTAGCGATCATGTTTTCGTCCGGCTGACGGTGTGGCATACATCACCTCATCTACTTGACCATCTGGTCGAAGCGGGTCTTTCTTACAAGCCGGCAGCATCGCCGACCAAATCGCCAATTTCATGTCGCAGTTCTCGGTCATCGTTTCGCTAAATATAGCAGTGTCGATAAAAGACTTCATGGCTGGAACTGTTAGGCATCATACGAAGTAGATAACGGCTTTCATTGGGTACGTCCACCTGTGGTCTGTACTTACTGCCAGCGATGACCATTCCGATGTCGTAAAGATATACGATTGAGGAATAAACAATCTCAATTTCTGCGAACTCACGGGTCTGGTACTCCGCCCACGTCATCACAGGCGGGATGTTCTGCTCATGTCAGCTCTCACCTCTATCTGGGCAGCATCTCGACATACCCCTGACTCAAAGTATTCATCATCGCATGGCAAATCAACGTTGTTCGATGTGAGAAGTAGTGTGTAGAAGGGCGTGTTGGTGACAAGGGCGAAGTTTTGATCCACAATATAGAGTACGTAAAACGTTCGCCTCCAACACTCTTCCAGTACACCGCTACCTTCCCCATACGCTCGAGCAAAGTCTCTTTCGTTCATACGCAATTCCAATGCAATTGTGATAGCTTTATCCATATGCTTACGAGCCTCGGCTCTGGAAATGCTGTGGAACTCAGCGAGAGCAAATAGCAGCAGCGCTTGAACATTGAATGGTGTATGCGCCAGGTCGGGCGACGTGACAGCTTCTAATGCTGTCATGTGGTAGGGTTTCGATGGAGTCCAAGGGGCGTAGATTGATCCGATCCATTCCAAGACGGATATTAGTGTGGTCATTCCATGGTTCCCGTGCAGGCGCCTGGCTTGCAGATAGTGGAGAGGCAGTACAACTGGCCATGAAGACCAGAAATATTCGAAGTACAAATCGATGAGTCGTTCATTGTCGACTTGGAAAATCATTCGACTTTGCTGGGTAACGTTCCGTTCACGAAAAGGTATGGAAGAACCTGATGAACCGCTCTCAAAGGATCCCAGGCTAGACTGGTCGGATGGGGATGGCGCTGGTAACTGAACTTTTCCGCTGGTCAAGTTTTTGGGTTCTTGTTGCAGTCGTAGACGTCGCTCCGCGAGTGCAGCTTTGCTGAGACCTCCTCTTCTAGATTTTTGATAGATGCATTCTTTCCCGTCGCGCCTGCATCGGTTGCAGGCGGGTTGTGTGGAGTCACACTTTACGTGTCTATTGCGGCACTGGATACAGGCCAGCACTACTCGTTCAATTCGTTTCGGATCCGACGATAGCTCCATGGTTGAAGGAAAACAAGAGGAAGAGCGTAGGTTGCGATGTGATCACGGCCGTAATTGGGGACACCGCCAAAGGAGATCTTGCGCGCCAACCATGGAAGGTCAAAGTCAAGATTATCCAAAAATAATCATACATTCCGGTGAGTGGAAGACGAGCACGACGCGTAGGGCTGATCTGACTGGTTACACAGCGTGTCAAGTTGGGCGCCTGCCGAGTCGGCAAGAGTCGGATGAGCATCAGCATTGGGGGCCGCTCCCTCTTCATTAAGATGTTACGTTGAAAACCACAAATTCTCAACACGGTTTAGGCATGAACAGAAAGCACTCGGGTGCGACACATTCAAGAGTTCAACTGACACACATAGTGTCACTATTAATCCCGTACATTCGCAAGCCTTTCTACCCTACTACAATAAACTAGAAATAATCGCACTATAAACCCACAATCAGCCTTCGTGATACGACAGGCCAACGTAGCAACATCCAAGTCTCTGGTCTCAATGCACAAAACATGTAATCATATGCGTTCCAGACCTGACGGCCAATAAACCGTACCAGCTGGGGTTGTCGCTTTTCGGTCGTATATCTATAATCGAAGGCGATGAAGCAGAATGAAGAAGCCGCGAGCTTAACGCAGCTTGCCGTGATCTTGAGCCTCTTTGACCTGTTCAAAGACCTGCAATACAATGTTAGTTATCGGGTTCCGTACATTAGAAGAATGGCGTTGCATACCTTGAGCATCTTCCTACGTGCACCAAGAGCATTGACTCCACGCTTCTCCAAGCCTTCGTCATCGAGCTCGATAAGCTCCTGCCACTTGAGATCCTTCAGGTTGTCTGTGTACTTGTGCAGACGGAGACTCCGAAGCCAGTTGGGAATGTCCGAAAGCAGACCAGGGTCGGTAGGATCCTCCGGGGGCTTGGAGCTGCCGCGACGGCCTCGGGGAGATCGACCGCGATCAATGTTGTCGCCGAGGAAGCCATGACCTTCATTACTGCCGCCGGCAAGACCAAACTGAGCAAGGTTGAGAGCGCCCATACCGTTGTTCATCATGCCGCCGCCGTAGTCAGCAGCCAAGAACCCGTTAGCTTGAGGCGATGTGAAGTTGCCCATGGCACCCATGCCCTGACCCTGCATTGCGAAGCCGGGGGAGCTGGGGCGAGATCGGCGGCCTTGCATAGCAGCCAATTGCTGGGCCTGAAGAGCAGCCGCTTGCTGTGGTGTCAATACTTGGCCAAGCTCGTTTGTCATCAGGATGTTTCCGTTGCCCATCTGAGGCATGCCGGGGGACATGGGTCCGTTGTCAGAAGATCGGGCGCGGCGGAATTTGCGTACATCGTCCAGCTGGATGCGGTTGTTGACTGTAGACAACGCGGCCAGTTTCATAGCAGTAGCGTTCGCGACCATATCGGCCTGGTTGTTCGACTGTTGGAAATTGGCGACCATGGGAGTGCTCAACTGGGAAGCCCAGCTTCCACCTGGGTTGTAAGAAGGCGAAAGGAGCGGCATGTTGGAGGAGTTGGCCTCGAGAGCGTTCAAAGTGGTGGTCTGGACATTGTTGCTATCGTTCTGGAGAGGAAGACGTGGAGATCGAAGACCGGCGGATGGAGGTGGCTGAGTGAATTGGCCCATCGGTGGCTGCTGGTGCTGCTGCTGGCCCGAAGACTTGGGACGGTTCGCGCCCTCGTTCCAGGGTGATGCTGGCGGAGCATTGTTCTCTCTCTTGCTGTCCTCAGGGGCGGAGATGGTGGGAGCCGCTAGAGAAGTACGATCTCCAACGGTGCTATTGCGGTTGGACGCCGGCGCAACACCGACAACGTCGGTGAACTCAGCCTTCTGCTTGGCGATGGCAGCCGCGGCGTCCGGGAACATGCGGTTGATCTGGGATGTCTCCAAGCCCGAGTTGCGTTTTCCAGCACCCGGGGATGGCGGCGGACGGCCGAGGCCCATGGAATGGCGGTTTTCGCCAGTGCCGAGCTTGCTCATGGCGTCGCTCAGTTTCTGCGTCATGGGATCTAGCGCTCGTCAGCATGGAAAGTAGCCTGTGAGTGTTGTCAAGCTCACCTTTCTCTCCAAAGTTGGCAGGGGACAGAACTCCAGACATGGGCACGTTCTTGGACATCTGCTGCAGGACTTGGATGAAGAAGCGAATCTGCACCTGTGTCGTCTGCTGGAGGAGAGCGTAGAGGGCTGCAGTTCTCTCGGCCTCACTAAGGACGCG